CTCAGGCGCTCTCAAAGCAGCTCTGAGACCTCAACCGTGGCTGGCACTGCGGCACCCAGGCAGGTGGGGTACGGCAGGCAGGGTGGGTGCTGCAGTGCTGGCTAGCCTGGGGAGAGGACCAGAAGGAAGGGAGAGAAAGCCCCAGCAGGGGAGTGCAGAGCACCTACACTGTCTGCTAAATGTTCTAACAAAACACACTTAGAACGTCCGCAGGAAGACCAGCAAGACACTGGACACTTGAAACAAGCCAGTCAAACTGGCCTGTCGCCCAGGCCAGACTGCTGTGGTAAGATCTTGGCTCACTGCAGCCTCCACCTCCCAGACTCAAGCAGCCCTCCCACTGCAGACTCCCGAGTGGCTGGGACTAGAGGCACATACCACTGCACCCAGCTAATTTTTTTTTTTTTCGAGACGGAGTCTCGCTGTTTTGCACAGGCTGGAGTGCAGTGGCAGGATCTCAGCTCACTGCAAGCTCCGACTCCTGGGTGCAAGCAATTCTCTGCCTTAGCCTCCCGGGTAGCTGGGATTACAGGTGCCTGCCACCACACCTGGCTAATTTTGTTATTTTTAGTAGAAATGGCATTTTACCATCTTGACCAGGCTGGTCCTGAACTTCTGACCTTGTGATCCACCTGCATTGGCCTTCCAAAGTGCTGGGATTACAGGCATGAGCCACTGTACCCAGCTGCTAATATTTTGTATTTTTGTAGATGCGGGGTTTCGCCATGTTGCCCAGGCTGGTCTTGAACCCCTGAGCTCAAGTGATCCACCTGCCTCGGCCTCTCAAAGTGCTGGGATTACAGGTGTGAGCTGCCACACCTGGCTGGGAGCCGCCACACCTGGCTGGGAGCCCTACTTCCGCATAAAGATGTGGCTTGGTCCACTCGGTGTCAGTGGAAGTGATTCTGGCAACTCATACGTTCTTTTTTTTTTTTAAGATGGGGTTTCATCATATTGGTCAGGCTGGTCTCAAACTCCTGACCTCAGGTGATCCGCCCACCTTAGCCTTCCAAAGCGCTGGGATTACAGGTGTGAGCCACTGCGCCCGGCAACTCATATGTTCTTAGGGGGACCCAGCACCTTCCCTGTCTCCCTTTCCCATCGACTGGTGCACGGATATACCACAGTTGGGAATCCTGGGCACCACAGCTGGGGGTGACACTCTAGGGGCGTTGAAGCCACATGAGAGAAAGGACTTGACCTTGGGGGACTTTCTCCCCCAGCCACCGAGGTACGTGGGGGAGAAACACAGTCTCTGCAACAGCGGCTGCTCCTGGAGCCTCAGGTACAGACACAACAAGATTGTCACGTGCAAACAAGACATGTGGGTTCACTTTCATTACTCTGCTGGTAAGGTTAACAAGTGACAACTACCTTTGTTTTGCTTGTCTGTACATTAATATTTAATGACGAACATTCTATAGTCTGGCGCCTCCCAGGAGCAGCGGGAGCCCACATGTAACTCAATATGCATGGATTTTAATAGCGGAGTCCCTTTGATGTGTGTGATACACCCCGGGGAGGGAGTGGGGAAGGCTGGGAGAGCCTGACCCCAAGGGAAGGAGGAAGAAGGTGTCCTAGCAGCAAGGCCATGGGGGAGGGACGCAGGGAGGTCCTCAAACCAAAGCCAGTCATCAGAGGGGTCTGTGTCTCTGAGGAATGAGGCTTGGAGCAGAGGCAGGGAAGGATTTCAAAGAGAAGCCCCTGACCAGGGAAGCCCCCTGGAGCAGAGGACCATGAGGCCTTCTCTGGTACTGGGAGCTGGTTACACACCAGGAAGAAGTGAATGCAGGGCCTGAGGGAGTCTGATGTATCATGTCATGTGACAGAAGGCTGGGCTGGGAATGCTCTGTCCCTCTAGGGCTTGGTGTTCCACTGTGGGCCACCGGGAAGTGAGGGATCTCTGGGCTGGAGGGCGAAATGTTTCATCCACACTTCTGACATCAAATGTGGGAGTTTATTTCACACCAATTGATTCTCCAACTTTCTGGACACGGCTAGGTGTCCTACAATTCAGCTCAGTCCTGACACTACCTGGAGTCAGCACAGACTCCACAGGTTAAGGGCTCAGTCCTACAAGACTGCCCCACCTCAGAGGCCAACTGCAATCCCTCGGTTGCCACTTGTACTTCTGATCAACTAGTTATAAATTCAGGGGTTTGGACGGGCATGGTGGCTCACACCTGTAATCCCAGCACTTTGGGAGGCTGAGGCGGGCGGATCACCTGAGGTCGGGAGTTCAAGACCAGTCTGACCAACATGGAGAAACCCTGTCTCTACTAAAAATACAAAATCTGCCAGGCATGGTGGCACATGCCTGTAATCCCACCTACCCTCGAGGCTGAGGCAGGAGAATTGCTTAAATCTGGGAGGCGGAGGTTTCGGTGAGCCAACATCTCACCACTGCACTCCAGCCTGGGCAACAAGAGGGAAACTGTCTCAAAAATAATAATTCAGGGGTTCCCAGGACTCCCCCTTCAGGCTCACAGAACTCAGGAAAGTGCTTTTCTTACATTTGCTGGTTTATTACAAGGGATAAACTCAGACGGCAGATGGAAGAGATGCTCGAGCCCGGTGTGGGTGGGGGAGTGACTCCGCACTCTGCCCGCACCACCCTCTGGTGCCTTGGTGTGCTCAGCCACCTGGAGGGAAGCCCTCTGATCCCTGTTGGTTTTTAACGGGGTTCCATGATGCAGGCATGACTGATTCAGCCAGTGGTGATCAGCTCAATCTCCAGCCCTGGCCCCTTTTCCCTCCCAGCCCCTGTCATCAGGCTTTGGTCTTTCGGGCCATCTGCTTCCATCCTGAAGCCACCTGGTGACTAGTCATCAGTCACCTCATTAGCAAAAGGCTCTCGCATCACTGGGTTTCCAAGGGGTTTGGGTGCTGTGTGCCACAAGCAGGTGCAGGGACCAGAGACAGTCGCCCCTGGCTTGGCCTAAGGGGGTCTTCGTGATTCAGACACTGGGATCTCAGAGCTGGCCCTGGGGCCCCCGCTCAGGCCCCGGTGCTCCTCGCCCAGGGATTCAGACTCAGCCATGTGTGGCTCGGGGCCCGGCCAAGACTGAGCACTGCGTCGACCCCACGGGGAAAGACGCAGCCTCCAGCCCCAGCCCGACCCGGAAGGGCGGCTCTGCGTTCATGTCTAAGCTTAACTCAGAGAAAGACCGGGAGGGCTAGAGGTCCGGGGCTCAAGCTCCGCTCAGGGGAAGAGGCTGGGGGCGCGGCCAGGCGGGTTCAAACCCGCGTCTGGGGTGTTACCGCCGGCAGCGCGGGGCTCCGTGCCTCAGTTTCCCCGTCAGCTGCGGCACGCGCAGAGCCTCCCTCGCTGAGTCATGCGCGGACGAGGAGAACCTGGGGGTGTCCGGGCCCCTTCGCGTCACCGGGGTCACTGTCCCACCCCCGCGGCCTCACCCCAGGCCCCCACCGCGGCCCCGGCGACAACCTCGGCTCTCCCAACTCGGAGGCCGCAGACAGCCCACCGCCCCACCCACGCGGCCCCGGCCCGGCCCGGCTCACCTCCGCGCACGCGCGCCCCGGCCACCCGCGGAAACTCCGGGGTCGTGCCCGGGCGCGCGCAGAGGCGGGTCACGTGAAAGGCGGGCGCGCGTCTCGGGGGGCGGGGCGCGGCGGGTCACGTGACGCGGCCTCCCGCGCAGGCGCCCGAGGCGAGGGTGCGCGTCCGCGCTGCGCCCCCCAGTGGCGGCTCGGGCAGAGCGGGCCGGGGGCGTCCTCGCGCTCGGAGGGGGCCCGGGGAGCGCGTGTGGCCCCGCGTCCGGCGTCCCGCGGGGAGAGGCCGGCCCACGTGCTGCCGGCCGCCGGCTCCTCTGGGGTCAGGGGCCTCCGCTGGGCAGTCCCGGCCGGGTCCCCGGTCCCCGTGGGGTCAGAGGTGGGCGTGGGCCGCGCGGGCCTGGTCCGGGTCCCCGCAGCTCGTGGGGCTTCGTGAACGGTTTCCACGCGTCCCGGGGCCATCGTCGGAACGGCGGCCAGGGGCGCGCAGCGCCGGGTTAGAAACAGCCAACATTCGGCAACTCCTCGGATGCGCTCCCTGACGCCCACTTATTCCGGAGGGACAATCAAAACGTTGTGATAATCCGTAAAACTGACCATGCAGGGAACATGAAACTGACATGGGGGGAATTTTTCCATAAAATGAGAAAAGGCTTTTATGTTAAGAGGAGCGCGCTTTTAGATGTGAGATACCAAACCACACAGTATGACCTCAATGTCTGTGCAGAGAAATACCCAAGCAGCCACGCCAACACACGGGCCTTGCCCCTGGGTAGGCAGGGCACAGGGCGTTAAAAAACCCCTCCCACCCCTGTTGTGGTTTCGTGTTTTTACAGTGTTTTAGAATGAGCCCTACTCAGAAAGCTTATTAGATATTCAGAAGAAAGATTTTAGTCTGCTGAAATGTTTGAAAGTGAAATTATTTCGTAGAACATTTTCCCCTTAAGCTACAAAGAAGCCCCAGGGTAACTGGTACTTGGAAGTCCAGGGATGGGGAGGAAGAGTCCCAGGTTAATGAGGGAGAAGACATAGGTGGGGCGTGGTCTCTTGGTGTGGACGCCCCCGCCCGCTCAGTGGTTACCCTGTTATGTACGTCTGGGGCCACTGACTCTGCTGCATACTGTGAATCTGAATTTAATTGAAATGGGGACGTCGGGGCGGGAAAAGGGACCTGAGCTTTCTCGGGGGTAGGGATGGGAAAAACTGGAAAAGAAGATGGTTTGTGGGTTTTCAGGCGCACCTGGTAGAGGGAGGTGCTGGGGGAAGCTGACTCCCAGGCAAAGGCTGGCTGGAGCGGCTGCAGCTTTCCCTCCGCTGCTCAGCCCACCGGCTTGCCGAGAGATGCCAGTGCTGTGTTGTGAGAGGCACGTGCAGATTTGGGAATGTGGCAAACCAAGGTGTTACCTGGATGAGTGAGCTCCGTGTGCGAGGGTGGATTTGCAGTCACAGGCTCTGTCTTTGCGATGGAAGGCTTACTGGAATGCCACAGAAAGTGCTAGGATTTTACTTGGTTTATTGAAACAGCTGAGTGGCTAAAAAGATTCCTACGGGTGGGGTTGGCCTATTTCTCTTAAATGATGCCCTTCTGAGGGTACATGTGGTTTTTAGGAACACAGAAGATTCCAAGTCCCTCATAATAAACATAATTCTGGATCTCTTCCTTGAGGCCTTGGAAGGCAGGGTCCAGGCCGCTCCCTAGGAGGGCCCTAGTGACTGCAGCTTGTTGGAGATCATCTGCCTGACTTTCTGCAGGGCCTCCTGGAACTGGGGGTACTCTTTCAGCACATGGTCCAGGATGGTGGTGATGAGAGCCAGCCGCTTGTCCAGGCGCTGCTGCTGGAGCATTATGGTCTGCTCGGAGCGGAACAGGAACACGTACCGCCCCTCCTTCACAGCCTGCAGGTGCTTAAGGCGCGTCTGCAGGGCCACGATCTCTGAAAAGTTCTGGGTGGGAAAAGAGATTCCATGTGGGGTTATGCAAACCCAAATAAAGGTACCTGCCGCGCCCCCGCAAACTCAGACTCCAGGAAATGCCGCAGAGGAGGAGAGACCTACACCCGAACGGGGACGGCCTGAAGGTGTCTGACCGCCGGATCACAGGGAAAAGGCTGAGAGGCCCTGGGTCAGTGCCTTTTTGGGTTATTCATCATCACTGTCTAGGAGACATTATCGTTATTTTTTTGTGTGGGGGGCAGTCTCGCTCTGTCACCCAGGCTGGAGTGCAATGGCATAGTCTCACTGCAACCTCTGATTCCTGGCTTCAAGCAATTCTCCTGCCTCAGCCTCCTGAGTAGTTGGAATTGCAGGCGCCCGCCACCACGCCTGGATAGCTGGGATTATAGGTGCCTCCCACCATGTTCAACGGATTTTTGTATTTTTAGTAGAGGTGGGGTTTCACCACGTTGGCCAGGCTGGTCTCGAACTCCTGACCTCAAGTGATCCACCTTCTGCGGCCTCCCAAAGTGCTGGGATTACAGGTGTGAGCCACTGCACCTGGCTTAGGCAACATTCTTGACACCTGCCACATGTCAGTCCCAGTGCCAGGCACCCTGCCCTCATCATCTTCCGGGTCTCAGTTGGCCAGGCCAGAACCTTGGAGCCATGATCCACCCCCCTCTCTGCCCACACCACAGCCAACCCAGCAGGGATCCCATTGGGCGAGGTTGGCATCACGCATGTGCAGAAACTGATGGCTTCTCGCCAGCCCCACACGGGCCACCCTGAAGTACTGCAGTAGCTGGAGAGGGGCTCCTGCATCCAAGCTTCATCTACATGCAACATTAGAGCCAGGGGAGCCCCTAAAACTAAAACCCAGGTCACCGCTCAGCCCCAACGCCCTCCTCTGTGTGTGCGCCTGCCTCCCTGAGAGAAAAGTCCAAAGTCATGATCATGCTCTCCCCAAGGCCCCATGGTTTGGGCTGGTGTCGTCTCTGCCTGGGTCTCACGCACCCTGACCTTCCCCAGCCTGGGTCTCACGCACCCTGACCTTCCCCAGCCTGGGTCTCACGCACCCTGACCTTCCCCAGCCTGGGTCTCACGCACCCTGACCTTCTCCAGCCTGGGCCTCGCGCACCCTCCCCTCCCGCAGCCTGGGTCTCGGGCACCCTCCCCTCCCCCAGCCTGGGTCTCGCGCACCCTCCCCTCCTCCAGCCTGGGTCTCGCGCACCCTCCCCTCCCCCAGCCTGCCCCGCTGGCTTCTGGTTGCCCTTGCACAGTCTCCGGCTCCTGCCTTTGTGGGGTGTCCGTCTGCCTGGGGCGGCTTTGTGGGTGTCCGCTCTTTCAGCTCTGGACTCCACGAGGCCTTCCGGGATCACCCTAACTGAAACTCCCAACCCCCCGGTTCACCCGATGCCCCTGACACTTCTTCCTCTGGTTTAAGCACTTACTACCACCTAACACATCATTTCCTTTTTTTTTTTGAGACAGGATCGCCCTCTGTTGTCCAGGCTGGAGTGCGGTGGTGCAATCTCGGCTCACTGCAGCCTTGACCTCCTGGGCTCGAGGGGACCACAGGTGCGTGCCACCATGCCCAGCTCAAACACGCTGTATCTTTTTAAATCATTTTGCTGATCACCTGGCCTCCTGCCCCAGGACGGAGCCTCTAGTCAGGCAGGGACGTTTGTCTTTCACGTTCTGTTTTGCAGCCCTCACACCCTGAACAGGAGCCCAGACCATAGCAGATACTCCATCAATATCTGTCGATCGAACAAATCACAAAGCCGCAAACATGTGAGCAGCTGGTGGTGCTGTTACTGGCGTGGGATCAGGGGAGGCCCTAGCCTAGGGAATGCAGGACCTCTGTACGAGTGGCATGTTCACGGCCGGGTGCCTTTACTCCCAGGGACCTCCCAGGACGAATTTACCTGTCGTTTGAGGTCCCTGAGCTGGGCGAGTTTGGCTTCATGTGTGTCCAAGTCTGCCTGCAGCACCGACAGCTCTTCCTTCCTCTCTTGGAGGGAGTTGCGGATGTTTTTCTCAGTTTCTTCCAGTTCCAGGATGGTTTTGGTGGACTCCTCAGTGGCCTAGGAGAGAAACAGGACCACACTGGGCCCCTGCAGCCTGGCTATTTGGCAGACAGGGAAGAGTCAGGCTGGGAGGACCTGCCAGGCGCCTTCTATGAGCTCCATCCAGGGAGGCTCCTAAAGAGGAATGGGGGCTGCTGCCCTTTAGGAACAGGTGGCCTGGAGAGGCAAGGCCGGGGAGAGGCCAGGCCCGGGAGAGGCGAGGCCCGGGATAGACCAGGCCCGGGAGAGATGAGGCCTGGGAGAGGCCAGGCCCAGACAAGCCCACACTGAACACTGCTCCCTTAAGGCAGGTGCGGCCAAGAAACGGGGGCCTGAGTGGTTCTGGGGCTCCCCAAGCAGCGTGTCTGTCCCCAGGCAGGGGATCGGCACAGCTCAGCAGCCGTGTGCCAAGGGCAGGGCCAAGGCCGTAAGGGCCGAGAGGCGGGCTCGGGAGCCTGGGAAAGAGGACGGCCGGGCCTCTGCCGAACAAGGGGCGAGGCTGCTGCCATCTGTGTGATGTGTGGTCCACCTTCAGGGAAGCAGCACAATTAAGAGAAAGAAAAACCCACAGGCAGCATTTGGCAGCTGACATGGCCCCGGGGATGATGGAGGAGGCCAGAGTGACTCTCAGGGCTGGCTGGGGACGTGGAAGGTCTTTGGGGTGGGACTGGCAGGGGTGAGGACAGGGACCTGTTTGTGTAGCAGTGACAGTGTCGTGCGGAGCGCAGGGCCTGGGTCTGGGGGACTTGGGTGCTGCTTGGAGCAGACAGGGATGTGGGTGGGCATGGGGGTCCTGGCAGGGGACTGAGGTGGTGCCCAGGGCAGCAAGGAGTGGTCAGGGGCTGGGATAGGAAGCTAAGGAAGGAATGGCATCAGGAGTGGCCAATGTGGTGGGCAAGGACTGAGAAGAGACCGCTCTGCCGCCTCTCTCCAGAAACTTCCAAATTAGCAGCCCAGGCCTGTCTGTCGTTTTTGGCTAATCTTTCCCTGCAAGGGTGACTTCAGCACTCTCCAGGGAACCTTCTCGGTGACTCTGAGAGCTGGGCACCCATTTCACAGGTTGGTAAACCAAGGCTCTGGGAGATCAGACCGTATGCCCCAGTCAGGAGTGGACTGGTGTGGCTCTGAGACGTGCTGTCAGCTGTCCCCAAGGCCACCTCCCCACCCATGGCTGTGGTTGCTGTTACATTTAACTCTGCCCGCCCCCCTGCCCCTGGCACATGAGGCCCTGCAGGTCTGGAAAGGCCCATGTGCTCCGAGGTCACACAGCGGGTCAGCAGGGCCATGGGGCCAACCTGGGAAGTGTGAGCACAGGGCCCCTGGCTGGTGACAGCTGAGGTGAGAACAGGACAGCACCGGCCAGGCCCTCCCAGTGTGGGCCACACACTGCACGCCCAGTGGACGTGGCCTGGTGTACAGGGATGCAGGCTCTGGGGGAGCCCGCCACGCTCCCATCAGCTGGTCCCCAGCACCCACCTGGGCTCCCCAGCATAGGCCAGCCTCTTCCCCAGAACTCTGTGCCTCCCTGATGCCTCCCCAATGCCACCTCTGATATGCAGGGAGGGCCTGAAACAGGGCCATCTCTGGCCGTCAGCAGCTCTATCAGGCACAGGCATTCTGCAAACTCCCACAGACAGGCCCTGTGGCAGCAGCAGGTTAGCAGTGCTGAGCACAGTCTCTGCATCCTCACCCCCAACCCAGCACCCAGCAGCAGGTTAGCAGTGCTGAGCACAGTCTCTCTGCATCCTCACCCCCAACCCCGCACCCAGTAGCAGGTTAGCAGTGCTGAGCACAGTCTCTGCATCCTCACCCCCAACCCCGCACCCAGCCGCAGGTTAGCAGTGCTGAGCACAGTCTCTGCATCCTCAGCCCCGACCTGGCACCCAGCCGCAGGTTAGCAGTGCTGAGCACAGTCTCTGCATCCTCACCCCTGACCTGGCACCCAGCCACAGGTTAGCAGTGCTGAGCACAGTCTCTCTGCATCCTCACCCCCGACCGGGCACCCAGCCGCAAGTTAGCAGTGCTGAGCACAGTCTCTGCATCCTCAGCCCCGACTGGGCACCCAGACACAGGTTAGCAGTGCTGAGCACAGTCTCTGCATCCTCACCCCTGACCCGGCACCCAGCTGCAGGTTAGCAGTGCTGAGCACAGTCTCTGCATCCTCAGCCCCGACCGGGCACCCAGCCACAGGTTAGCAGTGCTGAGCACAGTCTCCGCATCCTCAGCCCCGACCGGGCCCCCAGACGCAGGTTAGCAGTGCTCAGCACAGTCTCTCTGCATCCTCACCCCCGACCCGGCACCCAGCAGCAGGTTAGCAGAAGCGGGCACGGCCCCTCTAACAGCCTCTGCATCCTCACCCCCAACCCAGCACCCAGCAGCAGGTTAGCAGAAGCGGGCACGGCCCCTCTAACAGCCTCTGCATCCTCACCCCCGACCTGGCACCCAGCAGCAGGTTAGCAGAAGTGAGCACGGCCCCTGTAACAGCCTCTGCATCCTCACCCCCGACCCGGCACCCAGCAGCAGGTTAGCAGAAGTGAGCACGGCCCTTCTAACAGCCTCTGCATCCCCACCCTGGACCCAGCAAGACGCTTTCCTGGAATGTTCCTTGGGCCCCAGAGAGAGAAGCTGGTGCCCTGCCTCCTTTCCACTGCTCCCTACCTTGCGGATGTCTCTGATTTTCTGGCGCAGCTCGAGCTGCTTGCGGTGGAATTTGGTGTGGGTGAGCGCCTTCCTGTCCGTCTTGAGCTGCCCCTCAGCCTGGGTGGTAACGGTCTCTCTGTGGGCGACCGCCATCTCCATGGCACAGATCATCTTCTCCTGCTGCTTCAGCAGCTGCCCGAGCTTGACCTGGAGACAGGACAGAGCGGCTGGGGGGGGGGGGCCCAAGCTGCAGCTGCAGAGAGAGCTCATCCTCCAGCCACAAGCAAGGGGATCAGGGGCGGGGGGAAACAGTGAGGCCAGTGTCGCCGGGAGGATCAAGGGACGTGGAGGCAGCAGCCCTGGGTGGGAACCCAGAATCCGCAGGCAGACAGTGCAAGGCGGAGAAATGGCCGAGACCCGAGGACACCACGGAGGCATGAGAACTAACAGCAACCAGCCCAGGGTCAGATCTGGCAGCAGAAAAAAATGTCATTGAGAAAATTGGTGAAATCTGATTAGAGTTTGTAGTTTGGTTAGCAGTATTGCAAGAAAGTTAATTTCTCAGTTGTGACAGTGCACCTTGGCTTGGGTGGAGGACCTGGGGCTGAGGACTGGGTTGTGCCTTGAGGATTGGCTGTTGGTGTGCACAGGAACTTTCTGGAGTCATCGAAAGATCCTATGTCTGGATGCTGTGGGTGGCTATGTAGATGTGTGCACCTGTTAGAACCCACCAAACTGTGCATTTTATTTATTTATTTATTTAGTTTGAGACGGAGTCTTGCTCTGTCACCCAGGCTGGAGTGCAGTGGTGCGATCTCAGCTCACTGTAACCTCTGCCTCCCGGCTTCAAGCGATTCTCCTGCCTCAGCCTACCAAGTAGCTGGGATCACAGGCACCTGCCACCATGCCTGGCTAATTTTTTTGTATTTTTAGTAGAGACAGGGTTTCACCATGTTGGCTAGGCTGGTTTTGAACTCCTGACCTCTAGTGATCCTCCCGCTTTGGCCTCCCAAACCGCCAGGATCACAGGCATGAGCCACCGTGCCCAGCTCAAACTGTGTTTAAAATAAGCCCATTTTACCGTATGAAAGTCACACCTAAAGTTGGTTTAAAACAAAAAACAGGCAAGAATCCTGAAGTTAAGAGGGTGAAGGGAGACCAGGCTTACTCAGGTTTAAAATGTAGCAAAAGCGCTGGGCGCAGGGGCTCACGCGTGTAATCCCAGCACTTTGGGAGGCCAAGGGCGGCCGAGGCGGGCGATTCACGAGGTCAGGAGATCGAGACCATCCTGGTCACGGTAAAACCCCGTCTCTACTAAAATACAAAAAATTAGCCGGGCTTTGTGGCATATGCCTGTAGTCCCAGCTACTCAGGAGGCTGAGGCAGGGGAATCGCTTGAACACGGGAGACAGAGGTTGCAGTGAGCTGATATCGTGCCACTGCACTCCAGCCTGGTGACACAGCAAGGCTCCATCTCAGAAAGAAAAAAAAAAGTGCCATAAAGTGACTTGGAATGCAGCCCCAGGCTGGGGTGCCCTTATGCAATACAGGAAACCCAGAAGCCATGAAGAAAAAGACGGACGCATCACACAGCAAAAACACTAAAAAGTCTGTGTGGCAGAAGACACCCTGAGCAGAGGGCACGGGCAAATGATAGGCCAGAGACACTATTTTAAAAGGTATTAGGCTGGGCGTGGTGGCTCACGCCTGTAATCCAAGCACTTTGGAGGCTAAGGTGGGTGGATCACCTGAGGTCGGGAGTTCAAGACCAGCCTGACCAACATCGTGAAACTCCATCTTAAAAAAAAAAAAAAGTATTAAAGATAGCGGTTCATAACCCAAATATGTGAGGAACCCCTAAATAATGTTAAGAAATAAGAAGAAAAAAGAGACAAACAAACAAAAAAAGAAATAAGAAAACAGGCCAGGTGCGGTAGCTCATGCCTGTAATCCCAGCACTTTGGGAGGCTGAGACCGGTGGATCACTTGAGGTCAGGAGTTTGAGACCAGCCTGGCCAACATGATGAAACCCCATCTCTACTAAAAATACAAAAATTAGCTGGGCATGGTTGTGGGCGCCGGTAGTCCCAGCTACTCAGGAGGCTGAGGCAGGAGAATTGCTTGAGGCTGGGAGGTGGAAGTTGCAGTGAGGCGAGAACATGCCAGTGCACTCCAGCCTGGGCAACAAGAGAGAAACTCCGTCCCAAAAATAAAAACAAAAAAGAAAACCAGCCAGCCAAAGATATGAACAGGCGACCTCCAAATGAGGAAATGCAAACTCCAGCACATGCTTCACGCACGCGTATACACACACACACACACGATCCCCCTGCCGCCACTGCTGGTAAAGAGCAACGCGAACCCACATAAGAGAGCGACCTCTTTGCACACAGAGGACTGTCAGACGTTAAAGGCTGATAACAGACGAGCGTGGCAAAGCCACAGAAACCGTCAGTTTACAAAAATCAATTGCATTTCTATATACTAACAACAAACAATTGGAGAGTGAGCTTTTTTTTAAAAAGCATCCTTTACAAAGGCACCTAAAACTATGAAATACTTATGTCTAAATCTGACAAAACATGTGCTAGACGTGGGTGTCAAAGGCACTGACAGAAGAAGTGAAAGAAGACCTAAATCCGTGGAGAGGTGTGCCCGGTGCACGGATGGGAAGGTTCAGTGCTGTTCAGATGCCAGTTCTTCCCAAACCGATCTACAGACTCCGTGCGGTCTCAGTCCTGATCTCAGCAGGAGTTTTTGTAGAAACTGACAAGCAGACTCTCTAATTTTTATTTTTGTGCATTCTCAAATTTTTATAGAAAGGCAAAACATATAGAATAGACAAAACAGTTTTGAAAAGGAAGGGAATCTGACCGGCCAGGCTTGGTGGCTCACGCCTGTAATCCTAGCACTTTGGGGGTCCCGAGGCAGACAGATCACATGAGGTCAGGAATTTGAGACCAGCCTGGCTGACATGGTGAAACACTGTCTCTATTAAAAATACAAAAATTAACCTATGCAACAATCTTGCATGTTCTTCACATGTACCCCCAAACCTAAAATGCAATAAACAACAACAACAACAAAACTGAGCTGGGTGTGGGCTCTGCGCAGTGGCTCACGCCTGTAATCCCAGCACCTTGGGAGGTGGGTGGATCACAAGGTCAGGAGATTGAGACTATCCTGGCCAACATGGTGAAACCCCGTCTCTACTAAAAAAATACAAAAAATTAGCTGGGCATGGTGGCGCATGCCTGTAATCCCAGCTACTTGGGAGGCTGAGGCAGGAGAATTGCTTGAACCAGGGAGCCGGAGGTTGCAGTG